TTCCCCAGCCAGCTTTGCTGGCTGGGGAATTCTGGGAGTTGAAGTCCGCCAGGCTTCAAGTTGCCAGGGTTGGAGACCCCTGGCCTGGGATAAAAGTGTAAATGAGGCTTCCAGGCAGCCAAAGCTCGGCTTAAGTCTCTAGTCCTCATGGATCCTGCATGGCGGATCATCCCCAAAACGAAGCCACTGATTCATTTTGATTTATAAAAGCCATTTAATAACAAAGCCATTGGACGCCTTACGGCCGGAGAGGCCCAACATTTAAACGCGCCTCATAAAAGCAGGAAAAAAAACAAGTCGCCACGTCGAAAGGGGGGGGATGGACGGGGATACTGTTGGACTACAACTCCCAAAGCTCCGCCATGAAAGGCCACCAATTCCCATGAACCCCCCCTCGATGCGCACGCGCCTTCCTTTCGAAAGCCCACCACGCCCCTCCTATTATTATTATTATTCCCCCCCCCCCCCCGTAGGACTTAGTTTAGCGCGCGCGTGCGCGAGCCTCCTTGGTGAAGGACCCCGCGTGGCTTGGCCGGGCGGCTCTCGCGAGACTTAGCGGCTATAAAAGGCAGGCGTTGTTCACGCGGCCGCCTCTTTTCCCCTCAGCCAAGATGGCGCCGAAGGTGAAGAAGGAGGGTGAGCGCGGCCCTCGCGGCCCGAAGGGGGATGCCGGTTCCCCCTTCCTTCCTCGCCCTTACCCGAAACTGCCTTAGCGTGGCCTCCCCGGGGAGGTGGGCCCGGCTGGGCGCTTCCCTTCCCGCCTTTCCCCTCAGAAAGGCAGCGTGGCCTCCTTGCATGCTCCCCTCAGAATGGGGCTGGATGGCCCCCCCACTTCTCTTGAGACCCTTCCCTTCTCTCTCTCTCCCTCCCCCACATTTAATCGCGCCTCCCGGTTCTCTTGCTGCTGGATTACCGCGCCCATCGTCCCCGGCCTCTGAGTAATTGGCCGGGCCTCATTGGGGGAGCTGTGATTGGGGATCGCAGTGCCCATCATCCCCGGCCTGACGAGGCCTTTGATTATAATAGCCCAGCCTAATTGGGGGGCGGGGGAAGCTGTGACTGGGGATCGCAGTGCCCATCATCCGTGGTCTGAGGAGGCCTTTGATGAATTGGCTGGGCCTGATTGGGGCCGTTATTGGGATCACAGTGCCCATCGTCCCCGGCCTGAGGAGGCATTTGGGTAATTGGCAGGCCTAATTCGGGAGGGGGAGGACTTGCTGGGGATCAACAGTGCCCATCATCCCCGGCCTGACGAGGCCTCTGATGGTAATGGCTCAGCCTAATTGGGGGAGCTGTAATTGGGGATCACAGTGCCCATCATCCCCGGCCTTTTGAGTATTCTGGGAGTCTATAAGTCTTAAAGGGGCCAAGTTTGGGGACCTCTGAATTAACCAGTGGAAGGACTTCCCTCCCAGATGTTAGGGTTGCTCCAACAGTGGAGGTTTTTATAGGATCTCCTGCCTGAGCAGGGGGTTGGACTAGAAGACCTCCGGGGTCCCACCCTACTCTTGTTAAGTTAGCTGCCCCCCCTTCTACAGGCCGGTTGTTACCCTTGGATTTTTCTTTCTTTCCAGGCCTTTTACTCCTTTGGTTGGTGTCCTCTGGCATTGACTGATTTATGTTCTTAAAATGTGCTATTTTCAGGATAGAGGCTTTAGTGTGTGGTTGTGATTGTAGCCCCGTGGAGCTGGTGCACCTTGATCCTGCGCAAAGCCCTGTGCCTTTTGGAGCTCCCAAAAGCTTGTTCCCCACTGGGCTAATGGAAACCCCCCCCTTTCCTTCCCAGGCTGGACCATTATGCCATTAAGTTCCCAGTGAGCAAGGAGTCAACCACCAAGAACATTTCCCCCGGGCCAGGCGGGGTGGGGGGGGGGGGTTCTGTGGGTTGGAAGTCCGTGCGTGTTCAAGATGCTGAGGTTTGAGAAACACCAATGGGCCACATTCTCTGCAGTCTGTGTTGCATCCTTAAAGCCCACCATAATTGGTGCCCTTTGTATTCCGTGTAACATTTGGGGCTAGACTGTCCCAAAGGTGCTTTCCCCAAAGGCAACTAGACTTGCTTGGATTTTTCTTGGAAACTGTTTCTCTTCTCATCCAAGAAGCTTCTTCAGTTCTAGCTTAGGGAGAGCTGAAGAAGCTTCTTGGATGAGAAGAGGAACTTTAAAAAAAATATTATTTGCCTTTGGGACAACCATGACCTGTGGATGATGGAGAATCTCCATGGACATTTGGCTGGGCTTCCACCTTGTTGATGCATCCTGTTTTATCAGCAGCCATGATTCTTTTTTGGGGGTGTGTGGGGGACACCTGCAAATCTTTGAGACCCCTTGGAGGCTTGTGGAGGGAGCAGAGGAATGGATGGCCCAGATTACAAGCCTGAGATCCTCTGTACTAACCCCCTTTCTTCCTCCTCCCCGCAGCCGTCCCGGCGAAGACAGAGGCGAAATCCAAAGCACTTAAAGCAAAGAAAGCCGTCTTGAAAGGAGTCCACAGTCACAAGAAGAAGAAAATCCGGACATCGCCCACCTTCCGGAGACCAAAGACTTTGCGGTTACGGCGGCAGCCCAAGTATCCCCGGAAGAGCGCCCCACGGAGGAACAAGTAGGTTGGGTCCTTCCCCCCTTCCCCAAAACTCAAATGGCTTCCACCTTGACAGTAGTGAACCTTTAGAACAGGCCTGTCCAACCTGCCATCCATGGGCTGCCAGGGAGGATTGTAAACTTAACATTACAGCTAGTCCTCACTTCATGCCCATAATTGAGACCAGGGAGTCACTGCCGTTGTGAAGTGAATCTGGCTTCCCCATTGGCTTGTCAGAAGGTTGCAAAAGAGGATCATGGGATACTCTAACGGTCATAAATAGCAGGCAGTTGTCTAGCATCCGAATGTAAATTGTAAGCACACGGATGCAGCCACCATCATAAGTGTGAAAAATGGTCATAAGGTTTTTTTTTCAGTGCCGTAACTTTGAGCCATCACTAAACAAACTTGTAAGTTGAGGACTACTTATGTGTGACTTTTAGCAATGCTTAACCTTATATATTTAGCACGTGGCCCAAGACAATTCCTCTTCACTCAGTGCAGCCCAGGTAAGCTAATCGGTTGGGGGTGCCTGCCTTGGAAGCTGGCTCTTCCCCCAGGCCTCGGGCTAGAGTGGATGATGGAACCCTCGTGGGATGGTTCAGTTTATCGGACTCTGTTCTCCATTTTTAGATTGCATCACTAGCGGGATTAGGAGGTCCTAATCCCGCTGTGCGGGGCTTTTGTCAGACACACACACCATCCATTTAGAATCCTGTGTGTCCAGATCTGGAGACCTCACTTTAATAAATGATAACTGGATATCCAGTTGAGCTAGCCAGCCACTGGCCACTGGCGTTGCTCTGTGCAGATCTTCGGGGGGTGGGGGTGTCCCCAAACTTGGCCACTTTAAGACTTGTGGACTTCCAACTCCCAGAATTCTCCAGCCAGCAGAGCTGGGAGTTGAAGCCCACAACTCTTAAAGTGGCCAAGTTTGCGGGTCTCTGTTCTAGGGACCCCGGGCATGCGTGTCGTGGGCAGTCTTTCACAAGGGGTTTAATTCTTTGCACATTTGCATCACAGTCGCAACAAGGGGAATCTCTCCATCCCCCCCGAGGCAGGAAGGAGGCACTTCTTCCAGTGTCACACCTAATTCCACTCAATTTTATTCAGTCAGAGCGAGGCAGGTTAAAGCCAGGTGGTTTGATAGGGGGGATCACCAAGAACTGGTAGCGCAGTGTTGCACGCTGACTCTGCCCACAGCCAGGGGTTCGATTGTGACCAGCTCCAGGTTGACTCAGCTTTCCATCCTTCCGAGGTCGGTCAAATGAGGATCCAGATTGTTTTGGTTTTTTTGGAGTGGGGGGAAGAGGCTGACTCTGTAAACTGCTTAGAGGGGGCTGCAAAGCACTGTGAAGCTGTATATAAGTGCTATTGCTGTCTATATGTCTGCTTATCCCATCCATCCATCTTATCTCTATATTTAAGAGGCCGTGGGGATGCAGTGGTTAAACCGCTTAGAGACAGCTGTGCCGTAAAAGCACCATGCAGCGCTATATAAGTCTGAAGTGCGATGGCTTGTTGCCATTTCTCTGTCCAGGCATTCTTGCTGTTTTCCATGCTGGCCTACGGGAATGTGAACATGTGCTTTTCACTCAGGCTGAGCCTCTCCATGTTCAGACCTTGCTATCAAGTTCCAATTTTGTTTTGTCTGGAGAACCCTGGGGCTTCTTGAGCAAGTACAACAGCCAGAAAGATGCGAGGGACTGTTGAATTTGCAGGGGCCTTAGAGAAAGCAGTTCTGCACGACAGGACAGAAACCCACCCTCTTATTCTCTACCTGGAAGCCCTGCAGCTCTTCTTAGGGCTCTCTCTTCCCTGCCTCCTGCCCCTTCCAGTTCTTTTTCCCAGGTTAAACCTTCCCAGTGCCCCCATCTGTTCTCCCAGGCCTTCCCTTATATTCCTGGGGCCTCTTCTCTACACAGAAGTCTGGGGAATATCACTCCAGAGGGCAGATGCTGTAACGAATAAGACTTCTTGGGTCCTGAAAAATGGCATTATTTGACTGAAACAACCCAAAGCACACCAACTGTGCCTGATCTTACAGGACAGGGAATCCTGGGAGCAGGCAGTCCCTCAGACAGCTTTTGTTATGGTGGCACAAATTAGGCATTCTACTTACTGCATCTCTCTTTAGAACTGGCCTCAACACATTTTTATAGAAGGAAAGTACCTCTTTGGTGAAGCCTAGCTACCCATGTATTTAACTAACGTAAGAGTTTGTAAACAGGACTGCAGTATAATGTGATGCCTTAGCTCTATCCTGGTTCAACGCTACAAATCAACCTCACAGTCCAGAACGATTTGAAAGCAGGGAATGATACAATTAAATTAAAAAGGCTAACAAATTCTCTGTTTGAGATTTTTTTCTTTTAAAAAGTGCATATTATTACTCCAAGAATTTATGTCACGGTGGACAGATTATAGGATTATGCTTCACATCCTTCACTGGACAATACACAAAGCACAGGAAATGTTTATTGGCCTAAAGAGATCTGCAAACCTAATTTCTGGTACATTCAGAAGTCCAGTGAGTTTAGAACAGTGCCTTGCATACTTTACTAACAAACAGCATTTTTCTTCCACAATAAAGGGACCTGTTATTTATTATTTTCCACATTATATATATCAAATGTAGAGTCATTAGTGTTAGGAGCAGTACCACGCAGCTCCTGTTCCAGTCTGCCAAGAGCCCTTCTCCAAATCCGGTGCCCGGATTGTGGTGCTACCCTCTTGGTGGCGGCCTGATTTGATGTCCCTTTCTGCTCAGCCAGGTTATTCCTGTTGGCCCTTCGCAGGTGGTGAAGAAGCCCCTCTGTTCAGGGTCGAGGCTGCGCGTGATGAAGCTTTAGCGACCAAAGTCTGATTGGCTGTGATCGTAGCCACAAAGAGCTGATGCACCTCAGTCCTGGGCAAAGCTTGGTACTTCTTGGGGGCTCCCCCCTGTCCTGTTCCCCGGCAGGGCTAATGAAGACCTTCCCTTCCCTTCCCTTCCCTTCCCTTCCCAGGCTGGACCATTATGCCATCATCAAGTTCCCACTGACCACGGAGTCAGCCATGAAGAAAATTGAGGACAACAACACGCTGGTCTTCATCGTGGACGTCAAGGCCAACAAGCACCAGATCAAACAGGCGGTCAAGAAGCTGTATGACATTGACGTGGCCAAGGTCAACACCTTGATCAGGTAAGAGAGCGGGTGGGAGCGTGACGGGGACGGGTCCCGGGGCCATTTCGTGCAGGTGATGGTTGGATTTTCCGACTGAGCTAAGTGATGTCTTCAAAGGAACCTCTGATGCACGAAGAATCCTTTAGAGTGGCAGAGCTTTCCCCGTGGCCACACGGAGTCTGGTGGACTTCAACTCCCAGAATTCCCCAGCCAGCTTCAAGACTAGTGGGGTTGAGGTCCACCAGCCTTAAAGCTGGCTGGGGAATTCTGGGAGTCCACCACTTAAAAAGGGGCTAAGATTGAACTCCCATGTTTTAGAGAGAGGGGAGGGAATGTGTGGTTAATATGAAAGTCTGTTAAGTAGCCCAGCTTAAAATCTATTGGGAAGGATCCATTTCTTGTTAAAACAGCCATTTTGACTGGCAGAACCGAAGTCAGAACCGTTGGGAGTTCGGGTCGTTTCTAGTCCAAGCACTTCAAAAATAGATTCAGAGCAAAATCCGTCCAGTGATCTGAAGCGTGTAAACTCTCTAGCAAGTGGCTTAGTGCTTTTTCTCACGCTGGGCATGTGGGAAAGAGAAGCATCCGTGGGTAAATTTTGTGTTAGATGAATCAGGAGATTGTAGGTGTTCCTTGACTTACACCACAATTGAACCCCAAATTTCCGTAGCTAAGTGAAAGTTAAGTGAGTTTTGCCCCATTTTAAGATTTATATCGTTAAGTGAATCACTGCTGTTCTGAAACTAGTAACATGGTTGTTAAGTGGATCTGACTTTCCTGCTGACCTAGGATAGAATAGAATTCCTTTTTTGGCCAAGTGTGGTTGGTCACACAAGGATCACCCGATAGTCTTGGTGCAAATGCTCTCCGTGCACATAAAAAGAAAAGATATATTAGTCAAAAAGAGTCAAGAATCATCAGGTCCAACACTTAATGATAGTCATGGGGTACAATAAGCCATCAAATCATACCAGGAAACAGTCCATATAAATCGTAAGGATACAAGCAACAAAATTACAGTCATACAATCACAAACGGGAAGGGATGGGTGATAAGGGGTGATGAGAAGATTAATAGTAATAGTAGTGCAGACTTTGTAAATAGTTGGACCGTGTTGAGGGAATTACTGGTTTAGCAGAAGGTCGCAGAAGTGGATCACATGACCCCAGGAAAATGCAGCCGTCATAAATAGGAACCAGTGGCCATGTGGCCAGATTTTGATCAGGTGGCCACGGAGATGGCTGCAACGGTCCTCGGTGGAAAACGCTCATAATTCAGTTTTTATCACCAGCGTTGTAATGTTGGTCACTAAAGGAATGGTGGTAACCCGAGGACTAGCTGCATTCCATCGGTTTCGTTTGGGTGGGCAGCCTCTGCTCTGGGGGATCCGACTGCGCCCCAATTCCTGTGCTGAGGAAGCCAGTCAAGTCCCAGATCGGCAGAAGAAAAAACATTGGCATTAATACCTGTAAAGGTCTTCTGAGATTCTCCAGCCATCCAGGTCCCAACGGTGCTTTTTTTTTTTTTTTTTTTTTCAAGAGGCAATGAGGTTTTTCTCTTGAAGACTTTTCGCTTCTCAGCCAAGAAGCTTCTTCGGCTCTTGACTGGATGGTAAGGAATAGAAAGGATTGATATTCCTTGCAGACAGCTGGTCATTTGCAACCTTCGAGAGGGTCGTTGAGGCCACCTGGAGTCGTGCAAATGGGTGCGTGGAGCCTCCTTGGATCTGTTGGCAACAGTTTCAACAACTTCCAGCCGTTCCAAGGCAGCTCCACACCCATTGTCACTACTTAGGTGACCCTGAGGACACAGATGAAACCCCCAGGTGGCCTCAACGGCTCTTTAAAAAGGAGGCAAATGACCAGCTGTCTGCCAGGCGGATAAATCCTTCCCTTCCCCACCATCCGGTCAGAACTGAAAAAGCTTCTTGGATAAGAAGTGAAACATCTTCAAAGAAAAACCAGTACGTCCCGTTGCCTCTTGAAAAAAAAAAATGCACCTTTGGGATGAATACAGGTGACTGAAGGAAGAGGCGTAAGTGGAGGGGACTCCCTGTGTTCCTGGGACCATTTTTCATCCTGCAGATTTAGGGCTTTTTTTAGTGACCAGGTAGGGGGGCTGTCACTGGAGGGACCGCCTGCCTTCAGAGACCTCCGGGGATTGGAACCGTCTCTCGATGGCTAGAACCGGGCGGGGGTGGGTGGGATCCTTTTATTTTCCGGGGCTTAAGACTCGCTGCCTCCTTCCAGGCCCGACGGGGAAAAGAAAGCTTACGTCCGCCTTGCTCCAGATTACGACGCGCTCGATGTGGCCAACAAGGTAAGACCTCTCGTGTGTCATGGGACTTGTAGGAGATGAGGGGGTGGGGGGGGCTCTCTTTTAGGAAGGGGGGAAGAAGGTCTGCTTTTGGGGGGGGGTGGGGGGGGCTTGGATCCCCCCAAGACAAGCCAGGAGGAGGTGGCTGACGAGAGTTTCTGGCTCTTTTTCAGATTGGGATCATCTGAGCGAAGGCCGGCCAGAGCGGCTCAGACACACCCAGCATTTGTCCCACGTGGTTTACAAACTCTTCCTCAAAACCGTTCGAATATTTACAATAAAGGACCCTGAACACCCCGGACGGTTTCCCCGCTTTGCTTTCCAGCCTTGGAAGAGAAGTTTGGGGGGGGGGGGGAGACCCGTGTGCTGCATCCCCTCACCCTAAAGGGTGGTTGTCCCCATTCCAGGTCGTCCTTGACTTAACGGCCACATCGGAGCCCAGGTGTGGGGGGGGACGGTTCTCGCTGTCAGGAAATGTTCTCCCGGTTTCCAGGTTGAATCTCTCCTGGATCCGTTTCTTTCTCTGGCCTTTGGGGGGTGGGGGGCATTTTGGAGAATAGCAGGACCTCCTCCCCTCATTCCCCAAAGCCCCCCCCAGAAGACCAGACAAGAAGCAAAGAACTAAGGAGGAATTTCCTGGTAGGATCATGAATGGAACCACTATCCTCCAGAAATTACGAATGCTCCAACACTGGGAGTTCTTAAGAAGAGATTGGATAATCATTTGTCTGAAGTGGTGTAGGGTTTCCTTCCTAAGCAGCGGGTTGGACTAGAAGACCTCCAAGGACCCTTCCCACTCTGTTTATTCTACAGTATATTCCAGCCTATATTCATTCTACTATATTCTATTCCACAAGTCTAGTCTATATTCTGTTTATATTCTAGTCTAGTCTATATTAGACTAGGAGGAGGAAGGCCTGGTTGTCCCTGGGGTCGCGATGGGCCGGACACAACTCTGCAACTGACAACTAGTCCATACTCTATCCTATATCCCAGTCCTGTTTCTGTTCAGTCCTATTCCTGTCCTTCTGCCCTTCCCAAACCAGGCAGCTCCCCGCTGGCTGTGCCGCCACTGCTGCCTCCAGCCACCACCAGGTGTCCTCACCTGTCTCTGAGCTGCCCTCTGGATTACCCTTCCGCTTTGGTCCATCTCACCTGAACCACCTGGCTGATTGACGGCCTCCTAAGAGAAGCCCGTCCCTAGAGACACACGCACCAAATCCTCAGGGTTCAAGCCTGCAGGTAAAAAGTTTAAAAAAATCCAAAGGCCAGGAAGTTTTAACAAGGTTGTGTCCCCAGGGCTGCCTCATGCTTGATCCCAGAGAGCCCCGGACCCCCGGGGTCTCCCACCTTGGCCACTTTGAAGGCTTGGGGACTTCGACTCCCAGAATTCCCCGGCCAGCTTCGCTAGACTTCCACTCTCTCTCTCTCTCTGCCTGCTTCCTCTCTCGTCATCCCTTCCTCTGCAATCTCTCCACTCGGGAGTAGGAGAAAAAAAGATCAGGCATGGTTGAATGGGGAATTCTGGGAGTTGAAGTCCCCAAGTCTTAAAGTGGCCTGGACCCCCCTGTCCCCCTCACCTACGGGGGGGACGGACGGACGGCTAAAGCCAAGGGGGTCAGAAGATCCGATGACTGCAACCTGCATTCAAGCCACGATGCATTCGAGGTTACCAAGGCACTGAAAAAAGTGACTTGCGAGCATTTTTCACAGTCACCACCTTTCCAGCCTCTCCATGGTCGAAACCCAGACGCTTGGCCGCTGGTTCATACTTACGACTGTTGTAGGGTCCCTTTTGTGACCTTCGGACCAGCCGAGTCGATGTGGGGAGCCAGATTCCCCTAACAGCCAAGGTGGCTCATTTATCAACCGCAGCGATTGGCTTAAACAGCTCTGGGCAAAAAAGGTCGTAAAATGGGGTGAAACTCAACAAATACCTCGCTTAGTGACAGAAATTTTGGTCTCTGTCGTAAGCCGAGGACTTGCAAACAATTCCCCCCAAAGGCCAAACCAAGTAAAGCACCACTTGTTCACCGCTTCCAGCTACTATACTTGTGAGGTAGGCTGCCTCTGCATATGGAGGCTCCACACAGATCGTAGTTCCTGGAGCTGAGGATCTCCTTTACACGCCCTCGCCTTAACAATGGTTTGTTTAGTGGCCAAAGTTACAACAGCAACAGACCTGGGACTGTTTGTCACACTCCGCGACCAATGGCTGCCTTCCCCGTCCTGTGATCGAAATCCAGGTGCCTGGTGACTGACTTGTACTTACAACGGTTGCTGCGATCCCTTTTCTGTGTGTGGCCTGACCCGCAAAGTCTTCGTCGGAAGCCAGATTCACTCAACGACAGTGTTGCCGACTTAGCAACTGCAGTGATTCACTTAATGACGGTGGCAGGAAAAGTAAAAACAGAGCCTTGGGCTCAAGTGTGGTCGTAAGTTGAAGGGCTGCCCGCCTCCAAGCCAGTTTCCCCGCTCCTCTTGCCTTCTCTACCGGTGTTACGCTTCCCATAAGCCCCTGCCAGCTTAGCCAATGGTCAGGCCGGCCCAGGGGTTCATGGGAGTTGAAGTCTCAGCAAGCGACTGGAGCTGCGGCTGCTGCTGCCGCCCTCTTGTGGGCAAACGTCCTCCTTGCACCGGGGTGACGTCACTCCGTCAGGAGCCCCGGTCTGCCAATGAAGGCCTAGCTAACCGTGGTTTCTGCCCCGGGGGTTTCGGGGCGCTCCAATCCCAGGGCCGCCTGGTGTTGGGCACGTCCCCCACTGGAGGAACGAAGGGGCAGGAGGCTCCTGTGTTGCCAGGCCTGTCTCCAGGCTGCCGCCACCGCCGCTCGCCAAGACCCACCTGGGAATTCTCGCCTTGTTGGAGCCTTGAGCTCCAAGTGGCGGAGAGATTATAAAAAAAAAAAAGAGAGAGAGAGAGAGAGAGAGAGACGGTAAACAAGCAATGGAGGGGGGTCAAAATGCCAGGAAGGGGCAGACGGATCTTTTGCAGACAAGGCAGGTTCTTCAAAGTGGGCACTACGCCCAGCAGCTGGGCAGGTTGGAAGCTGCTGCTGGTGAAGGCGCCAAGGAAACGGATTTTGGGAGGGTGGGAAGGAAAAAAAAAATAGCTGCAGGGCAGAATGAATGTTTGCAGGGATTGGATACATCTAGAAGTTTAATGAAAAGGACGATAGTTGCATCAACAGAGGGATGCAATCGAGGTCAAGGGAGGTACTAATACCACTCTATAAAGCCTTAGTAAGGCCACACCTAGAGTCCTGCGTCCAGTTTTGGTCACCACACTATAAAAAAGAGGTTGAGACTCTAGAAAGAGTGCAGAGAAGAACAACCAGGAGGATGAGGGGACTGGAGGCTCAAACATACGACGGACGGTTGCAGGAACCGGGCCTGGCTAGTCAGTCAGTCGTCTATCATCTCTGTCTGTCTATCTATACATCTGTCTGTCTTGTCTATCGTCTACCTACATATCTATCTACCTACATATCTATATCAACACATCTTTCTTTCTCTTTCTATCTATATCACCTGTGTCTCTATCATCATTTGTCTATCTATCTATCTATCTATCTATCTATCTATCTATCTATGGGACTCGAGGCTGAAACACGACGGACAGTTTCAGGAACTGGGCCTGGCTAGTCTAGGGAAGAGAAGGACCAGGGGAGACAGGAGAGCATCTTCTAATATTTGAGGGAGGGGGGTTGGACTAGATGATCTACAAGGTCCCTTCCAACTCTGTTAATCTGACTTTAATCTGATTTTAATGAACAAAAGGACCAGGGGAGACAGGAGATCATCTTCCAATATTGTAGGGGCTGCCCCAGAGAGGAGGAGGAAGGGGTCAAGATATTCTCCAAGGCACCCAAAGGCCAGACAAGGAATAATGGATGGAAACTGACC